TTCCTTGAATTTTAGGAGAAGTCCTTGAAAAGTCCTTAAATTTCTGTGCAAGTCCTTGAAAAGTCCTTGAATTTTCTTCAACTTTGAATGTAGTGGCCTGGAAAGAGTTTTTTGATGCTCTTTGGTTGTCCAAGACAGAATATAAATCATAGCTCGGAGAATTTAAAGGTTATTTACATAAAGCGCTCCATGTTTTATGCAATAAATAACTATCAATTTAAGACCAGTGAACTGAAAAATGTAGAGAAGTTGGTGAAGCAAACAGTTCAAGCCCTAAAGTCTTATTGGAATAGACTGGGAATGTGCATTTTTGTGCAATCTGTGAAATTATATTCCTGGTAGGTGGTCCTTGAAAGTCTAATCTGGTCCTTGAAAAGTCCTTGAAAAATGGTTGCAATTTTTTGTATGGACCGTGGAATTAGAGAACAAACGATGTATTTTGCAATATAGTGGCCTCACTCTACATGCTCTTTCGATCAGTATTGTATATTGTCTATATTGTGTGTTTTGTTAATAGAATTCCAGAGTTTGAACATTTATATTAGATGCTACTTTGACCTTTCAAGTGGGTCCGTTATATATCTTTCCCATTCTAGACTGAAAGTTTGTCATGAAAAAAAAAATCTGAACTAGAAGATTAATTTAAGTCATTGAATGGATACAAAGCGTTCCCTAACGTTAAAAGATTTTAAGATAATATTGTTTACTACTAAGGAATTCTTCTCCCGACGTTGAAACAGAAGCGAAATAATTCAACATGCGTTTTGAAAGGTTGCTTTGAATTTTTGCTGAGGGTATCTTAGCTCTTTCTTTGTTTCTTAGTTCCATTGCCCTGCAAAATATCTTAAGTATAAAAACTGATAAAGAATAAAAAAAAAGTATTTTGACATATTGAAAATCCCTTCTGTGCGAGAGTGAATTTGTAAGCCTTGCTTATTGTAATTTATTTATGGAATATTTATTTGCGTCTTTTAGAACTCCGTAGGGGTAATTCCTTGAACACTGCTTGTAGCGCTGTCTTTTTTTATTTCAGTATTAACCGTCTAGTCCCACTGTTGACGAAGGAGTCTCTTTTCTATCTGTGAGTGTGCGTTTAAAGTATTGCGGCGTCACCATTCAAATAAATCCTCTCTGACAGTGCTTTGACACAGTACTGATTATTCTTCCGCATTTTTTTTTAGCAAAATGAAATTTGGACTTTGTTGAAATTTTGACTTTGGCCACTTCTGGCAGAAAGAGTTTAGCCGAGGTTTTGCTGTCGTGCGGTTTTCATGTGAACTTTTTCCTCCAGTTTAGGTGGTTTATAAGGTTTTTGACGTATATGCGCAGTACGCTAAAACGAGCAAATCTGATGAAAAATAGAATACGTATACTGAGGACAACTTATGCTAGTTAGTAGTCTGCCAAAAATGGAGAAAATTTTGGTAATTATATCGTAACTCTATAAGCCATAAAGCATATGTATTTAAGCGTTTTTACTTTATAAACGTAGTCTCAACATTTCAAGTTTAGGATCTGCACGTAATGTTTAAAGCCTCTGGTTCCTCAGTAGAGCAAAGACTTGTGGTCAGACTTCTCTTCGCGACTTCAACGATTCAGTTTAAGTGTACCTTGCCAATGCAGCCGCCTCTCGGCGCGGGAGATACTTCCAGTAGCGAAAGCGTCGAAAGGCGGCTTTATTCTCAGGCTACTTTAAACGTTCTCGGTCTTACAACATCCAGAATCGTGACAGATGTTCATCGTCTCTCCTTTCCGTGTTTAAATGAAATAATCACTCGTTTTTAACCCTGTTTTATCCTCACTCACCTTTCCTCCGCTGTTTTTCTTAGTTTTCACCTTAGTTTTTACCTTTGCATGATTGTCAAGCTCATCTCTTGGTAGGACTTAGCTGAGCTGTAGGCTTGAAAAGTTTCTTTCTGTTGATCGAGTTAAAAACCTCAAGATTGAAGATTTATCAAATGATCGGTTTTAAGGCGTGGACGAATTAATATCTTTCACTTATGCCTAAGTGCTGTACTTTTCTGGGCGTGCTCCAACAGTTTTCACGTGATTAAGGACTGCACAACTTCCTCCTCAAACGTGGATGAATGGTAGAAACCCTCTCTTATCGACGAGTGAAGGCTATGATTCGAATGAACGATGTTGAGCTGTTTCCATTTTTGAGCTGTTTTGTTTCAGTTTATTATGAAATAAACTTTCACTTTGAAAGTTTGGTTTTAAGCACTCGAAATGTTTTTGTGGGCAAAATGATAGTCATATCTATTCTTCACATTTGTCAAACTGCCAATTCAAGAGACATTGCGATTTAATCAAATCGTAACACGAAAGAATAAAAACTGAACTCCGCTCTTTCACCATCATTTTCCAAGCCAAAGAAATTGCCTATTTAGTTTGAAAGCATTAATCGTAGAGTAAACGCATGTTGGAAAGAGACCGTCATGGCAACTACCACTATAGTAATTTTTCTATTTCTTTTAGTTCAGGATGTTGCTTCCTGAATTGTGACGAAACAAACTTCCTCCTCGAATAATCAAGATTTAGTTATTTTTCTTTGTAGTAGTAAGGCGAATTCTAAGTAATTTATGGCTTTTATTTTTTGGCTACTCTCTCGCCAAGAACAAGTTTGCACGGCATGATTTATGTCCTCTCGAACCTAAAGGAAAAACAGAGGATATTAAAGGCGAACAGTAAATCGTCCGGCTTTGGGTTACACGAAAACTCGAAATACTGATTATAATTAAGGAATGTTTTTCAAGCCCGCCTTAATTTTCTTAATAGGAAGAGAAACTTAAATAAATATTCGGTTTTCTGAAGTTTTAAGATAAAAAGGAAGATTTTATTTAAAGCCATTTTGGTTTCGGAGCAAAGAACGAGGAACGAGCGTAAAAGACCGCGCGAAAAATGACGCGAGTAAAAGAGAAGGGAGTGGTGGGGAAGAAAGGTAAGGACCTTCCTCGTCCTTTCTCTTCCTTCCCCTTCCCCTCCCCCGTCGTTTATTTTTTGGCCCTCGTTCCATTTCACGGGCGGCCAAAAATGAAAACCTCGTGTTCCTCGATCTTTCAACGGAAATGCTTGCGACGCAGGCTGCAATTGGTACAACTTGCCACACACCTCAGGCTTGGGTAGCGGGCTTAATTTATATCGACATAACTGAGATTATTGGATTGAAACAGACGACTTTCACCTTTAGCCGGTTCACCCTCCTTCTCACCCACGTTCTTGGCCAGTCTGCTGAGTATGTCATTTTTATACTCCGAGGAGCTGATTTTTTTCCCATGGTTTACAAGATACCATCAAAAAATGTCATGCCGGCGCGGGCTCACCCCGGTTGCTGCACAGGAGCGAGAATTTTGTTCCGGTGCGAAATCATGTAAACGGGGAACGGCCTCCCCATGGACTGGAACGAATACCGCATGCCGTAGTTTTCGTCAATTCAGTAGGGACTTTTCGCATTATGTGGTTTTACGTCGTAGCGTGCAGAGAAATGTACTAAAAAGTGTGATGCGCGTGCAGAGCTGTTTTTTTCCTCAAAAAACCAATTGGTTTCAATCCCCTTCCCCACACTGCACACCACCTGATGCCCATACAATGCATTCCCCCGTTTCTTTGTATCTACTGCTGAGTTCGTGGATTATATGCTCATGAGGGAGCTTAAAGCAAAGACGTTTCTGGAGGACGCAGGTCAACCGGAAGTGAGACCTTTTCGTAAATATTGCTGCCCAGTAATGCAAAACGGCCACTTCCGGTTGACGCGCGTCGCTCGAAAACGTCCTTGCTTAAGTTCCCTAGTTATTGGGGACACTGGGAAGAAAAGTGAGCGGGAGCGTGAAAACAGCGCACTATGACGCCAGGAACAGACTACAAAATAGTATGTCAGGATGCAATCCAATACGGAAAGTTCATCGTTCTATGCAAGAGTGAACTTCTTCAATCAGTAGTTCAAGAGGGGTTATCAAAAAATGCACAGTGTAAAGTTCATGTAACGAACAAACGAAATAAATAAATAACTGAAAAAAAAAAGACTCGTTTAAAAAATTAAATAAATAAAAGTGAACTATATTTTGTAGTAAATATATTTATTCATCAGATCTTTTTTTCGGTCCTCTGAGCCTATCACTACGGAGTTGAAATTAAAGTAAAAGAAGGGTGCCTACTGTTGAGTAGGGAATTTGTTCACTGCTCAGGCATGTCAAAACTCCACAGTTCACAGTTCCACGATCAGGACACCCTGTCGATGACATCAGAAAACTTATTGGGGGGCAGAAGAAGTACAAAAAAATGTTCGCGCAACACGGGGAAAATTAAATGCACACCAAGTAGCCCTAAAAAATATTCATGCACTGGCCAAAAAAAAAAATACACCCTCACACAACAGTTCCCCAAAAAGAAAACCCTGTAAAAGAAATCAAAAAAAATTGGGGGGGGAAAAAAAAAAAAAAAAAAATATTCGCCAAACACGGGGAAAAATAAAAAAACACAAAAAAGCCCAAAAAAAAATTTATTCCCAGCCAAAAAAAAAAAAAACATACAAGGGTCTTTTTAACGCAAAAAAAAAACAAAAAAAAAACACACACACACACACACACACACACACAGAAAAAAAACATTCATGTGCCTCCCCCCATAACTGTTCGAATGGTCCGTTCATACTTCGGCCGTGTTCAGTCTCCCTGCCCCTGTGTTCCTATGAGGGCCTGCGAGCACAAACCTGCGAGCCGACATATTTCATGGCCCCGATCCCCTGGAGCTACAACAGGCAGGTGGGGGTGGGGTGGAGGGTAGACCACCCGGGCCTGATCTCTCACCGGTAACCGTCTTACTGGATACTGGCGACATATATTCCAAAAAAAAATCCAGTCAAATATGCCAAAAACTGAAGCAACAAATACAGGTCTTAGTTCTTAGAGGTCGCGATCGTTCCCCTCGTGAGCCGATTATTGCCCCCCTCTCTCCCCTCCCACCACGTGAAGTTTTCTTATTTTCTCTGCCCAGTTTCCCATATTTCCACTCACATTTATCATATCAAAATGGCGGATTGCGGCGGGTTTGGGAGCATCGATTTTCTTGTTAAAGCAACTGGATTATCCGATCCCGGACTCCGATTAGTCATTGGACTCTTTTCAGGTACGTTATTGCTGTGCTATAATTTAGTTATTTTTTTTATTAAAGTTAAGGGTTAAAAATAGAGTCACTTTTCTTCCCTTAAAAAGTGGTACGATCAACTGGTCACCTTGGACGACCTTCATTATGAAAGATCAGGCTGACCGAATTAATTTCTCAGTCTGAAAACTAATTGAGCCGAAGGTTCTTTATATTAAAAAAAGGAAAAGTACTGCTTGCTTGCTTTCATACTTTGAGTTTTATCCTTGTTGTACAATTCTTTGAATTAAACTTTTTCATGACAAGGCGGGTAAATTGTGCATGTATATGTTAACTGCTGTTCTGGGTTGTATTTGTCGATCGTGCCGGCATTTGTTCTGCTCACCTGCATCTGTATAACCACGAAAGCAAACAGATTTATTTTTTGGCCGTTTTAACACAAATGTATCTCTGTATCATAGAGTATCATGTGATCATAACGTGATGTATAGAAGGTGTATTTATAATTTTTGTCAGATCAGTTTTGCTTTAGAAGCTATTAAAGCCAGTATTATTAACTGTTTTATGGTTTGTTTGATATGATCATTCAGCTCAGCTTTAATACTCTAGTTCTCTATCTCCAGTCATTTATAGCGTGGTTTAATTTGAACAAGGCAATGTGGTTTTACCTTTTGACCCTTTAAGCTCCAAAATCAAGAGTGATCGGCATCAAATTTCTCCTCGTAATATCAATGCTTTGTTAAACAGAGTGGTCATGAGAATTACTGGCATGATCACACAAGATGAATTTACTTGATATTTTATCAACTTCTCCCACTACTTCACTACTACTCTATCACAATTTCTCTTTTTGTACTAATTTTTTTACAGCGTATCCACTGGCATTTTTTTATCATGCATTCTTCTACAGGAAAAACCCAGTTCTTCAGGTAACTATAATCATGAATGAATGAATGAATGAAAGAAGAGAGTGAATGAAGAGTCGTGGATGAGAGGACAACATACGTACCCTCTTACAATAATTTTAACATGTGAACTGTAGGCTCGGACGTCAGCATACAAAGGCGCCACTGGCAGCTGCTCTCAGTCCATTTATGAGCTTACTGTACCCACCCAACCCATGATGTGAATGATGTGATGTGTCATGATCAAGGTTCATTCACATGTATTGCCAATGAATACAGTTGAACCTGTTGTTAAAGCAAGAGTAACCAACATCAGTTTTCTCCTAAAATATCTATAGATATTCAAGAGAAAATTCATGACAATTAATTGATTGGAGAAGGGGGAAATGTTTGTTGTTTTTGTTCTCAACTACTGGTATTCTTCAAGGAAATATATGGAGATGAATCTTGAGAAAATACCAATTTGATCATACTTGGTTATGTTACTGGTCAAAATTAAATTCAGGTTCAAACTTTTTAACCAAGGTTGATTCTCAGTTTCCATGGCCTTCTAGCCCTAATTCATGTATAATTAGGGCTAGGAGACAAAAGAAATTGAAAATCAGCCCAGATTAAAACATTTTAACCTGAATTTAATTTTGACCTGAAACAGCAACAAGGCTTGGGGGAATAAAACAAAAAAAATGTCCGATGACAGATTTTTCCTTGTTTTCGGCAAATATAGGTATATTTTTAGGTATATTTCGGTATATATAGTTTTATATCTGCAAGTTTGAAGTCAATCATGACCATACAACTCTCTGCACAAAATGCTGGTCAAATTTCACCTTAAAAAAGAAAATGCTATGCTAACACATTCGTGAAAGTTAACGCCAAACAAATAGAGGAAGAGTGCCGATGGACTTTTCCTATCTGAAAGGGTATTCTTACCTAAAGTGTTATTGCAAGAAACTGAGTAATTAGAACCCACTGAGAATACAGTTAGCACCACAAGAAGAACAACTTTATGCTTAATGCAGGACGAGGATAAAGACTGAGATTATTATTAATACCAAGCTATTTCTGCTTTCAGCATGTGTATTTTACCCTTTGTGGGTTGGGTGTAGCTGCTTTCTGTTATGGTAAGTGTGTAAAGTGTAGCGAAAATGTATCACTTGTAAGGTATAAGTTATTCTCTCATACAAAATGAACTTAATGAATTGAAGTTAAATTGTTTCAACTTAGTTTAATTCTCAATTTTCTATGTCTTCTAACCCTAAAATAAATAATAAATTCATTTGCCTTCTGATAAGTTGTGAAAAATGTTTGTTAAATGTGTGGAATTTCCTTGAGTTCACATTAAGGAGAAAAAAGTTAATATCATGCAGAAAATTATGCAATTTCTCCACATTTATTTTCCTTACAGCACTATTCACATCAACCGTCAATGAATTTCTCTACAAATTGCATGATCACAAACTGTGTGTAAAACACTGAATTTTCTTTTCATATTATGCTAAGTGCAGTATTGATATGCTGTCATATTCACAATGTTTTTTTTTCAAGGCTGGTGTTTTGCACACTCCTTAATAGCCATCGTCGTTTCGTACTTACTTTTGCAAATTGTTGGACCATCAATGGTTACAGTTGGGCTCACATTTTTATTTAACATGGTAAGTGTTGTCCATGGTCATTTTAAGGGTCACAGGCTTCCCAAGGGCACACATTTAAATTTCAGGGCCAGGTTGTTTAAAGGACAGTTACGGTAGGGCTAATACAGGGCTGGTATTAACCATGTTAATTGATATGTTCTGTTACTGTTACCGGATTGGAGCAAACAGGGCTTTAAACGTCTTGGCACAGAACATTGCTGTGAACTGTAAACACTTATCGTATTAGAGGATCTGATTTGTGGGTTGCGCGTACTTGGTGTGTTTACTCTTAGGGGTGTAAACAAACCAACTATGGATCATGTGAACTATTTTACAATTGCTAAAAACTATGCTAAAAAGAAAGCTCTGCTTGCAGGCTAGTATTCACAGGGTTTGCAAATTTTATTGATGAGTGGAGTCACTGTGGCTTCTGCTTCACAAATTTTGGAGTCATTTTGGAATATTTGGAGTCAAGTATCACAATGAAAAAAGCCATTTTCAGACTTTCCAGCAAGTGGTCCTGGCATGTATACACTATCATGAGGGATACACGAAGTAGCTGTGGCGGTCCGCTGACCTGGAAAGCTCTAATCAATGATGGCGGTCATTGAGTAAACTTATGAACCTATCAATGTAAACCCCATGGGGGAGGGGGGGGGAGTGTCGGCAGGGGGTGGGGATTTGACAAATTTTAAAATTTTTTGATCAAATTCCCCAGGATGGGAAACCAAAGGTCAATCAAAAGTGTCAAAAAAGCCCCCACCCTGGGGGAAAAATCTAAACAAACAATACTATAATACTATATAAAACTAGGGTATCTAAAAGATAGTAATGCTGCGGCACATTCTGTTGATACTGGCATTAGTTAGGCAGTGAGACTTAAAAGAATCGGAGACATTGAATGTCCTATTTACATGTTGGAAAGTACTAGAATATTTACTATCAGTCTGTAGAAAGAACTCGTGGAAACGTTGTTTAGAAAATGATCAAGTGGTTATAACTCTGGTTTTCCCACAGTAAATTGTAGGAAATAATAGAAATTCAGATTGTTTATCCATATATTTAATATACGGTGCACGATATTTTCTCTGGAAACACAATACTTTTCTTGCTGTTTGTTGCACTTTATTAAGTGACAGTTATTTAGCTATATATTTATAGAAAACAACAACACAAAAAACGGAAAAAAAAAGAAAGAAGGAATAAAGAATTTGGTAGGATCGAACACTGCACCTTCGGCTCGATGCGACTACACCTAACCACTACACCACAGAGGGTGATTACGTAATTTTGTAGGAAAAGTCTTGATTTTATTATTTTATTCCTTTTCCATGAAACTTCCGCCGGCAAGATGATCGCCAGCCGCATTAACCGAGCTATTAACAGTGGAAAAACAATGTAAACGCATATTCCATGGCAATGAATGAATGAAAGAACATAATTATGCTTTTCAAAACGCCGATACACGTCCTCGTCTGCAAAGTAGGACACAAAACATATGTTTTGTGATCTCGATTTCCGCTGTTATTTTGAAGCGAATGGTCAAAATCACATCCATTTTCGGCTCATACAGTTTCTTAAGAATAGCACTGCATGACATTTTCTCACTTTCACATCACCTTCTAGCAAGCTGGAATTTGTATATCCCCCGTATTGCGGAGTCAAAGAGCAAATGCTCATCTTCTCGTCAGGTTTAACACCTGGACGAGTCAAAGGCTCTTGAATTGAAATCCAATCCCCAAGTTAACCATTGGACTCATCTGAAAGACTCCTGTGTGTCTTAAAATTTGGTAAGACCTCTAACCGTGCTGTAGAAAATTTGCCACAAAGAAAACTAGGTCTAAGGTCTAAGTCTAAGTCTGAGCAGCGAACGATGTACTCTCTCACCCACCGAACTTCCCCGTGTTTTTCTTTGAGTTGTTCCTGGCGCAATGCACTCTGGTTAAATGCAATGCATTGTGGTAAAAAGTGATGAATTCGAGAATTCGTCGCCCCTTATATATTTCCTTTAAATCCTGATTATGTTGCTGCTCGCTCCCTTCGGTCGCTCCGCAGCAATGAATGAAAGAACATTTCAAAAGTACGTTATTAATACTTTTATTTAAGGTTAACGTAAGCTCCGTTAAATTACTCGCTGCAATTAAGTATTTTCTCTCTCCACTAGCACAACATAATCACTCCAGGAAGATTGACCGTGCTATTATATTATTGAAACGTAAAATGCTTTGTAACATCGGCTCAACATGTCGGAACAGGTCGGATCAGTGACCTGTAAGAAATCCTCTGACTTTCATGGTAGAATTAGATTTCAATCGAGGTTTACAATCAGATGGGAACTTGAAGATAAAAACTTTCTCAAAATAGACATTATCTCTTTAGATGACAGTGTACATGTAAAGTATCGGATTATGGCGATTAAAACAAATGAAAACTTCATAACTTTCTCCAACAGCGTGACTTTCAGAAAGCCTCGAGGGACGGACTTGGTTACCGCTTCTGAATTGATACCAGGCTTCTATCGCTCAAAGTCAAATGTCCCGACCCCGGGGTCGCTTTGCACGATCAAAAGCCCGACAGGGGAATAGTCTCAGGCATCAAATCCCCACCCTTGTCCGCACTCCTCCCCCCACGGGATTTACATGGATAGGTGCATTAGATCATAATTTACCCTCTTCCTGTTTTGTCATGCATTATAATTCTTTAATTTTGATGATTTAAGTAAGGTTTACAACGTTTACAATTAACGTAACTTGTATTTGTTGCGAAAAAGGTTGGGACAAAACTGTGTTTGTTTCCGAAAATTTCTGGAGTCAAAGTGACTCCCTCTGTAACCCCTGTGGAGTCATCTGAACAATTTTGGCCTAAAACACGCCAAATTTGGCGTATTTGCAAACACTGTATTCAGCTGCTACAAATTAAGTTGATTTACAGTGCCATTTTTTACTGCTCCCTCTCTTTAGACTGTATTTGAGAAACTGGCCAGAAATTATGCAACTATAGCCAACGGTTAACTCCTGTACCTTTAGCCAAAAATGTCATTTTTGGTTTGTTGTGTTTGCATGACTTATTAATAACTTTTTTTACATGTTCTTCCTCTTACAGGGATATTTGTTGACAAGTTATGCATACTATGCGTCAGGAGATTATGATGTGAACTGGACCACACCACAGTGTATTCTGACATTGAGGCTTATAAGTAAGTTGTAAATAAATGTTTAGAAACTTTAAATCTGGCTGTTAGTACATGCCCAGTCCCTGGTGGGGAGGGAAAATTAACCCTTTTTCTTCTTGATTTCAATGAAACTGCTGGCTTTAGGGTTGAGTTGTATGCGGCATCAGGGTGGTTTGCTGTTATGGTGCCAATAGTCAAAGGCCATGGTTGTTCACCCGTTCAAAAAATTTCCAAGAAGTTTGGATGAAAAGCAAATGAAACATTAATCTTTGGCCCATTCTAGTGGAAAAATTTTTTAAAGATATGGAAACAACATCTGAAAGATATTTAATAATTTTGTTGTTTTTATGCATTTAGGTGTGGCCTGGGACTACTATGATGGTAACCAAGACCAGGTACTGTAAAAAAAACTGGAAAGTTTTATGTCTCTTGAACTTACAAGTCATGCAACTAATATCATATAACTGTACATGATGTTATTAAATGTTAATTGTGGCATATGCTATACCATCAACTTACAAAATACAACATAAAAAATATTGTGCACTGGAAAGGTTTATGTACCTTGAACTTAAATATATTAATAATAATTATTAATATGTTATGGTAATAAATTAATAATTATTATTAATATGTAATAAAATTATATTTATACCAAAAATTAATTCTTAATTTTTGGTACATCTAATACCATCAACTGACGAGATACAACTCACTTTGACTCTGAAGATGACTACCACACAGGTTGTTGAAATATCAGTCACTGTCAACAACAGCCCTATTCATGACTACCCTCACGCGGACGATACATATTTTACATTCTTATAGTACGTTGTATTGTAAAGAGTGTAGTAGAGTTAATAGTAAAATGAATTGTTTTTTTAACTCTCGTAGGAGAAATTGTCTGCAGATTTTAAGACCACTGCCATTGCAACACCTCCCACCCTTCTACAGGTAACACACTCCACATGTTATTTTTTTTAATGTTGAGTTCTCAATGTGACAGCCAGGTTAGAGGTACTTTCAATTTCAAGAGTGTTGCACAGTCACGCATCCTGTAGGCCTCTTGGAATAGAAAAATTCATGATCTGGTCTTTTTTCTGGTCAGATAACCGAATTCTTTAGTATACATGTAGTTCATAATAATATTTTTCTTAAGTAGGTTGAGCATGATTATCCAGGGGAACGTAGTCCTGAATAGGACTGTTGTTGACAGTGACTGTTCACCTGGATGATCATGCTCAACCTGCTTATGAAATGACTTCTCGGCTCAAAACTTTCAGAAGAATTATTATTCTGTTTTCAAAAGTCCAGCTACTATGATAGAAACCTCAACGTGTTTTTTGAAGAATTTTGATTCCATTGAATTTAAAAGTTTTATAATTTCGGCCTACTTATTTATGCCTGGATTAGGAGATTTGTAGTGAACTTAATGCTGTTTTCGTTCCTTTTTCAGATGCTTGGTCTTTCTTATTTTTATGGTGGATTTTTAGTTGGCCCTCAGGTAATTTCATGCCATGTAATAACACAAACAGGGAATTTAATTTTCAAGGGTCTGTATCTACACTGCGAGCCGTCTCTCTTTTCCCTCTGATTTAGGAGATCATGTGCGCGCAGGCTTGGAGCAGCGAGGCGCAAGAAACGAGGTGTCTCTGCCATCTCGCACCTTCAGTCACATGCGTGGTCATTTGCGTGTTTCGTGCATTTTGCTGGATGGACTAAGAATAAGAGAGACTGCTCATAGTCTAGTGTAGCTGTGTCTAACTTAAACTGTACTTGAATAAAACCAAAACCTGTGCTAAGACCGTTTTCATGTGATGTCATGGCGGCCATATTGGTGTACAAAACAATGAAATGGCAGCCATGTTGGTGTCCCAAACTACGTTCTATAGTGCCGGGAAATTTGCACAGATGTTGGCCACTTGAGGAATAATATCTTCACACATTTTTGCATGTTGCAATTAACACATCAACACAAAACATGGAAAACTATCAACAAGCTGACTACGGAAATCAAAGAGAACCATCATAGAGGAAGGGGAATACAACTGGCAGAAAGCCAAGCAGTTGAAGCAGGAATAATGTTTCTTCCCTTTATCATAGAAATTAGGCTCAACTTATTATATCTCCATCGAGGATTTTTTTTAAGGTGAAACTCTTCATTTTTTGTAAAAAAAATTAGTGACTTCGATACCAAATTTGTCGCGGTATTTACAGACCAGGATGTAGTATAATGTCAAGCTGGTCTCATCTGCGTAACTAAATTTGCCCTAGAAGACAAAGGAAATTGAGAATCAACCTAGGTTAAATGAAACTTTAACTGAAATCAAATTTGACCTGTAACATATACATAGTTTTTTGAATGTAGACTCTAAATGGGTAGGTGTAAAAATTCCAGGGTTGCTTTTAGCCTTGAGATGGAATGAACTTCACCTGTAACAGTACCGTGATCCAGCAATGTTCAGTGCTGAATAAGAAAAGGTTTTTAACAATCGGAATAAGTGGAAGCAAATTAATATCAATTTATGTATTTGTTTAAAATTCCTTGGGAGTCGTTTGTTGTCGAGAGGTGTTTTGAGTATGCCTTTTTTCCTTATACAGTATGTGTTACTTCTCTTGCAGTTTCAAATCAAGGCATACCTGTCATTTGTAGATGGAACACTGGTGGACAAAAAGGACGACAACAATTCACGGTAACGGTACCTTAACATGAAGGAACTTGAACCATACATTTTCCAAAGGAAAAATGGGTTGAATCGACAGAGTTGATATTAAACACTGAAACAATTAAGTGATTTGATATATAACCCATGAAGAAAAAGCTTTACGTGCTATGCGTCTAAAGCCCCATTTACACCAAAGCTTGATTGTTATTTACAAGTACTTTCTTCACTAAGTTTGAGTTCCATGGCCAATAAGGACGCTTAATTGGCAATATTGAAAAATAAACTAGACAACCGCGACACAGACCTTTTGATTTGTACTTAAACGCATCTAAGCTTTTGTTTTTCCCTTTATCTCGTAGGGTGTCAGAAGGTTTAAAGCGCATGTTTCTTGGTGTAATGTACCTTGGTCTCTATGCTGCATTTGAACCATACCTATCAGTCACTAATCTTTTATCAGACGACTTCCAGGTCAGTTTTAAAACTCAATCGTGTCACGTTTTAAGGGTGTCACAACAGTGTGATTTTGACACGAGTGCCATTTTGTAATAAGTTGTACTTGTCCCCTTGACAAGTTGTAACAATCCACAGGATATAGTTACGAAAAAGTGTACCTGTGATCTACGTAAAATCTGTTCCCAGGTTAAAAGCTAATTGTTCAACCGCATGTGCAAAAACCAGGAATAGAGATCAGCAACCATGAACACGTCAAATGAATAAAACAAATAGAAAGAACATTTAGTTTTTGTAGATAAGGGTAAGGTATATTTGCCTCTTTAATTTTAATAATTCCCAGTTTACTAGGTTTTCCAGGCTGATCCAGTGTCTTTTCCGAGTGTTCCGAGTGTTCCGAGCTGTTCCGAGTGTTCCGAGCTGTTCGGGTTTTTAGAAATAGTACATGCCCTATTCATCCTATCCATGATCCTATTTAAGTTGGCTTTTTGTGATGGTTTCAACACTGGTAACGTAGGTCTAACACTGGTTTAAACTGAGAACAAATTTAGCGTACAATACGGTCAGTTTACGGCTTTGGTATTTGGTCTTACTGACCATGGCATCTACTTTATTTTTATTTATTTATTTTATTATATTTTATTTAATTTTAAACAATATGTAGTGAGGGGTGCCCAGGTTAGCGTGGCTGGTTTGAATGGAGCGCTGATGAAAAAGAAAAAAACAGCAACACACAAGACAAATAAAGATAAAAAAATGGTACAAACAAAAGTAAGGGAGGCTCATACGACAGCGCTATAGTTGAGTACTGGAAATATCATGGCGTTATTAAGTGTTAAACACGACTCACGCGGAATGACCTTGCACGCTTTAGGAAGCATGCCGAGCTTCGCCGATATTTTGCGCCAGACGATGTAGTCTGTGGTCACCCCACGAGAAGTGGAGTGACGTAGTAAGCAGGGCTCAAAAATTGTTCCGTCCGGTAGTCCTTGACAAGTACATTCCCTGCTGGGTTGGTAACCTTTAAAGATTACTTGCCGAATGCCATAGTGTCCAGTCAAGTCATTCTTTAACAAACTCATTAACTAAGAAGATCAAGAAGCGACTTCGGGTGAGCAAATTGTGAGGGCTGCTAGTCCAAAGGACAATCTGGGATTCAATTTTTTTCCGAGCCCTGCTTAGCTTATAGATATACAATACTATTACGCTGAATATCCTTCATTAAAATTATGAGTTAGTCCTTATGTACCGTGCCGCGTGTTTAATCTTGAGCACTGCTTTGTTGTCCGCAGAGGTTCTCATTGCTTGGTAAAGCTTGGTTCGTTATATTCTTCAGCAAACTAGCTCTTATGAAGTATTTGGCTGTATGGTGCCTCTCGGTAAGTAAAATTCTCTTTTTCCAAATAATTTTTTTGCGCACTTACTCTGTTCGTGCTAAAGTGTGTGTCAAAAGAATTTCTGTTTGTTACTATGCTAATTATTCGAGACTGGAAACTCTTTCAATACCTTCGCTTAATTGTTACTTAATACAACCCTTTTTCCCGCGTAACTTTGTGCTCTCGGACGTCATTATCAAGTAAAAGAAAATAGAATTTGAATGTCCTGTAAATACAAGGAAAAAAAAAAACAGTGGGTCATAAAAAAGGGACATATTTAAATATGTTACAAGTTAAACAAAGAGTTTCTTGTATTTCAGTATAGAACATTCATATTCTATTTTCGTTTGATTTGATAATGACATCGGAGAGCGCCGAAACGTCGTAAACTTTGTCCAAAAAGTAGGTGCAAAAAGTAGATGTTTCCTGACCTCTTTTCGGCAGGAGCTCCTGTGGTTCGATTCTCCTAAGCGACCTCCTGCCCCTGGGCATGCGTAAGGTTGGCAAAACGTCGTCCAGCCTTCGTCGACGACGAAATTCAGGGAGGTTTGCCCTACCATTTAATTTTCACATTTTGGGTGGTGTCTTAAGGGAGGTTCGACTGTATTTTCTAAACCATGCATGTAGTTAATGGCGAAGTGTCCCTCCAACAGTTACTTTTTTAATTTCAGTTATTTCAAAGTACAACAATCACAATAAAATAGTGTATCGTATGTATGTGTGCACATGACTCATGTGTGGAATGACACATGCAATTGTACAGTCACTACATCAGCTTATTCTAATGCTATGTCTATAGTATTTGACAAGTGCTGTTGTGCTTTTCTAAAAAAGAGAAGAAAATGAATACATTACTATGAAGTCCAAAGTCCATAATTTTTGTAAAAAAAGAAAATAAATTAGATTTCAAGATTTGACAAGTGGACTGTGTAATCTAATTCATTTTCTCCAACAGGTACTTTCCTTCACACAGGTCCTACGACCTTAAGACACCCACGTTGCTTACAAACTACAACATGGCTTCTATCTGACAGAAGGTTTTTTTTGTTGTTTCTTAGGAAGGAAGTTGCATTATATCAGGACTAAGTTACAACGGTCGGACAAAAGACGGTAAAGTGATGTGGGATGGACTTAGAAATATCAAGGTTTCGGTTTATGAGACTATGTATACTTTCCAGGTGAGTTGTGGTACTTTCTTTGGATCGCTTTGCGCTTGCGCCTCTTTCAGCGGTCAGCGGTCAGGCAAGATGGCGTGTGTGGTGTGCGGTACCTGACTCTTTAGCATAATCATTTTTTAATAACCTGAGTAAGGCTGTCCTATCTTTTTAGCCCTCAATGGTTATTATGGGCAACCTGTACTCTCTCCATATTTTGTCTATTTTTTTTTTGTTTCATGTAAATCATTGTAGGGTACAAATAAAGTTGTTTTTGTTGTTGTTTTCTTAATTTATGGTAAAGACCGAGCAATTGGTCAATAAAGGATGGCCAATGAAGAAAATGTTTCCTTGTAAAGGAGGGGAAATACCGAGCGAGCAAGATGGGCCCATCTTGCACTTTTGCGTAGTCAGTCAGAACACTTGATGCGCTTCATCTTACCCGATTGGGGAACCAGACCAATAAGTACAGAAAAGATCACTTCATAGCGCTGATACTCGTTGTTTTACTTTTCAGCAATGTATCGATTCCTTCAACATCAATACAAATAAATGGGTATTCAGGTTTGTAGATAATTTTTACTCATATGCGTTTATCCTTCCGGTGCAAAGAAGTAACAGCCTGGTTTACTTAAATGTGTTTCCGAGGTTTGTCAGTTGCATTTTCACGTCTTTGTCACAAAAACAGTGAGGAAATACCCTTCTACCTACTAGTAAACACCGACAAGCCAAATTTCGTCGCTTTCTTTTATTTTTTGGTACAACTGCTTCATTTGTTGCTAAAATGTCGTCTTCTGAAACTGTCGCGAAAGAGGAAGCCATATTGAATCCCGTCCCAAATCCATGGATATCTTCGTTATACTGATGTTCCACTCAGCTGCTTCAGTATTAGAAATGGTCTTTGCAAAATGAATCTTTTCTTTTGCATTTCGTTTCAAATTAAAAAAGAGCACCTTTTTGGCAAATTCTCAGTCTGATAAAACTGTTTTGACTCTATTGTAGATACGTCTTCAAACGACTTCGTTTCCTCGGGAACAAGAATCTGTCTCACTTCTTGACGCTAATGTTCCTTGCAGTTTGGCATGGATTATTTGTGGGATATTTTATCTGCTTCTTTTTAGAATTTGTCATCATCTTGATGGAGAAACAGGTTAGACTTTCATCTACGCGTAAATGATCCTTTTTGAGGTTCAGTTTTTCAACTACAGCCTAAGCTCTCTCCACACAGTCCGCCATATGTATGAGCAAAATTTTCAATAGTCCCTTTTCGTGATAAAAAATTACCGCTGAGTACAAACATTAATTACTCATTGATAGAGGGTTAGCCCCGACCTCAAATAAAATATTTGCGTGACCGACAGGAAGGTGTCTTTACATCGAAAATAAATAATAGACTGAGTTGTAAGATGGTCCTCATCTCGCTGGAATTTGTGAATATATTTACTTCAGGTAGAGGCTAACCCTGTTCAAAAGTGTCTCCAGTGCTTTCATTCAACTGTCATGGGGAACTCGAAGCTGGACTATTAGCAGTTTAATAAGAAAATCAATGCACTTTGCTGTTTACTTATTATCGATGATGTTCTACCCCTTTCTTTACCAGGTAACCAACATGTGTTACACAGTGGCCCAGAAGCCTTTAGCAGCGACGCCTGCATTCGTCAAAATCCCTGTTATTGCAGGGTATTGGTTCATTATGATGTTTGGTCTTGGATACTGTAATGTGGCTTTTAATTTGCTTAGCTTTCAACGATTCCATCGGGTAAGAAAACTCTAAGTCTGCGAATACAGCTGTCTATACATGCTCCGCCCCGCTAGAGACGCTTCGTTCTTAGCGGTGAAGAGCGAAGATATACGGTTGTATTTGCTGGCTGTAAAACCCTTTAATTTCTATTTTTGAAAGTACGAGGCTGAGAAAGTTCTGTGATTAGAAAGTTGCTGAATGATGTTGAATTACAGTAATTAGATCAACTTGTAAAACCTTCTCTGCCATTTAAAGTAAGGTAAGATCTTGTGGGCCAGGCCGAGGAAACTTCCAAATTTTCAAACAATTAATAATTGCACAAAATTTATATGAAGGTATGGCTGTGGCAGTTGTAATCGCAATTTTCGCAATAGCAAATAAACCCGTCAGAAACCTTCAGGGCTTCAACGGGATTCGAACCTATGGCCTCTGCGATAGCGCTGCAGTGCTCTACCAACTGAGCTACGAAGACCCATACATTGGAAACAGGCCAATTTGTTGTGTTCATCTTAACCTGGGAAAAGAATGAAACATAGAATGAAGATGATGTGTATTCCCACATTTCCATCATCTTCTTTCCACTTAGAAAATTACTAAGAAAACCGAACGGATGTTTAATGATATAATTCATTTAGAATCACGGAATGTTAGTCTTGTCATTTTAGTTGGTGGTTATAAGAGGTAATGTAGCTCTTTTAACCTCTGTATCGCATCCAGTCTCGCGCCACAGCCAATACACAACTTTAAGATTAAAAAAAGTGCCATGAGCTGAACCCGGAAATGTTATTTTGTGATTGAACTCGTAAAATTTACGACGGTCGCGGGCCGATTACGATTTTCCCACTAGCCGTCCCAAGTTTTAAGTGCTCAATTTTGAACCTTAGTTCAAAAAATTATCTTCCTTTTCCGGCAGTTCCTTTGTCACAATGCCCCGGTTCATGTTCTTTATTTTTAAATTTAGATCTGGTGGAGCCTTTACTATATTGTTCCCTTGGTCGTCCTTACATGGCATGCCTTGTATCCCATAGTAATCTATCCTGTTTTTAAGAAAATGACTCGCGGTGACAAGGACAGGTAAGACTCAGAGCAATTGTTGTGTTAGTTTCACAAAAACCAGAGTAGTTATTCTGGCCAATCACATCGGACTTAGACTTACTATGATCCAATCAGAACTCTGGGCAAACAGGTGTAGCTCAGGGAATAAAAGAAAGAGATGATGGCGAGAGGGGTAGGGGAAGGAGCGATTATTCGAGAGAGGCGATTATTTTATAAAGTTCCGTCTAAGGGGAGAGGGGAGGCGATTTTTCGAGGGAGGCGATTAATCGAGGGACGGCTATTATTCGGAAAGTGACCTTTTTTCTGTCTGAAGCTACCAAATTTGTATTGTGTAGTTCCAAAAATATCCATACCCCCCTCCCCCCCCACTCCCACGGAGGGCACTTTTTTCTACACCACCAGAGGGTGTTTGACATACCCCCTCCCCCAACCCCTGGAATTTCCGAAATTTTCCAACTTGGCTGGGTACCCCCTGGAAAGATATTTCCGTCAAAAATGCCGTTGCAAAATACTTTATGCGAAAGATAATTGTTTCTGCGATAAAGAGGGAAAAAATATTTTTTCTTATGTTAATACAGTGTCAGATGATCTCAATTTTGCCCTTTAGGGGTCTTTCTTAGTTTATTATTAACGATAAGTCACTGAGAACCATGAAGGTGGTACGGCCGTACATGACACAAGTGATGCCATTTCTCAAACCAGTGAACTTCAGTTACTTCCTTTCAGTGAAAAACATGTTAGAAGCAGGCTTATACGAACATGATCACATTACATTGAATACCACAATATATTGTGTAACAAGCAGCAGATAGATAACTAGCCTGTTCCAGGCGTTTAGACAGTAGAGCGCAGAAATTGCCACCTTTTGCCCCCCCCCCTTCCCCTCCCCTTTGGAATTTCTGTTCCCCTCCGTGGGAGGACAGGGGGGGGTATGGATATTTTCTGGAACCACACATTGCTAAGTGACTTTACTCTTATAGAGACGATCTGTCCAAGAAGGTGTTCAAAATCACGGCCGAGGAGCAGAAACAATCTACTTCCGGTTGACGTGCGTCGCGCAAAAACGTTGTTGCTTGATCTCCCCTAACTTAGTCTCGTCGCAGAGGTTGTAAAGCAAATATTACGAGAATGGGTTGGCGCAAACAAATGTCTGAGGAAAATATAATGTTATAACTGCTTATGCACGCTCAATTTTTCTATTGCGCTGTGGAACATGTGGCATGTAAATAACACCGATGCATCAACTTTTTTATTTTGCAGGTCAAAGAAAGAGAACTGAGGATTCAACTATCTCCGCGTATTAATCATTTGTATATAAAGATCCTTTTTTCTCTTTTACCAGTTTTCAGGATATTAACGTGCTAATAAGAGAAGTTTGATAGATTTCGCCTGCAACTCTTCTCCAGTTTACGTAACCCGCGTCAAACTGTTTTTTTAGATATACAATCTTGGACAAAATGCTAAGATGGATTTTTTAGAGCCTATCCCATCCCCCCCATATCAAGGATGTTAATATGGCGCGTTTGGGTTTTCTCTTTCGCACGGCTTCATTCTTGATTTAAGGTGGGGGGGGGGGGGGGGGGGGGGGGGGGGGGTTGGGTTTCCCTTTTTTTTCTGTCCCCAAAATTTTACCCCCTACCAATTTCACCCCAACCCTGCCAAAACCCCAGCCCTTTTTTTTATGTGATCGGTTACGCAAGAAGGGACTGATCAATCCCTTTTTTTTTGTTTTATATAACCCCCTCAAAGATTTTTTTTTGAAATACAATTTTGGGAAAAAAGTTAAAAGTGTTTTTTTTAGTCCCACCCCCCCCCCCCCACATAAAGGGTTTTTTATTGGGGGGTTTGGGTTTTTTCTTTTCCCGCGGTTTTTTTTTTTTTTGAGGGGGGGGGGGGGGGGGGGAGGCGGGGGTGAGGGTCTGCTGTTCCATTTCATTCTGTCTCCAAGACTGTAGCTCCTAGCAACTTCATCCCCATACTGCTCAATACGCAGTCCTGTTTCTTAGATGACTGCGTTACGCAGATAGGACGTATCAATCTCATTTTTTCTTTGCGTCTCTCTCTCGCACACGCAAAGCGTGTGTGTGACCTTGTCGTAGCTTGTGCCACAATAATCTTTTTTACTTCCGAAAATTTACTTTAAAGAACACTAAAAAGAGCATGATATTCCTTACTTGGATGAGACTGTAAAGTACCTCTTATCTTTTTATTTTTACTTTTTGAAAAGTGTTATAATATATTGTGTGAAAACTTTGTTTCTTTGACTTCTCGTTCTAACTGAAGAATAAAATCTTATTTGTATGTTATATCTTCCAGTGTTACTTATTTAACTAAATCGATTCTGGTGTGTTATGCGGGGCATTATTGACTCGTTAAATCCGGTCACACTAGCCTGGAACCAGTCTGCGCATTGGGCTCCGCAGTAGTCTGGGGAGAGGAAACGACCGCCCTTTCCCCCTCCTTAGACCACCACTCGGCTCGCTTCGCTCACCGATTTTTTTTTGCTGTTTCACCCCTTTTTTTGCCTTTCCCCCACTGCGCTGCCTGGTCCCAGGCTGCATAAATTGGCCTCTGTCCAGCCTAGTCTCTAGGCGTTTCTGCTCGGTTAGACCTAGAATCTATCCGTCTAGACCGGTTTTGTCCCTTTTTCGGTAAGATCGTCAAAATCAAGTGGTTATTGTAAATTAAAGGGCGTCCGTTTTGGTATCTAGGAAAGGGTATCTAATTTACTTAGGGAGGGGGTTAGTTGGGGTTAGGTCCTTCCTTCCCTCGCCACTGTAAAAGTACGACTTATCTTTTTACTTTTACTTTTTGAAAAGTGTTATAATATATTGTGTGAAAACTTTGTTTCTTGGACTTCTTATTTGTATGTTACATCTTCCAGTGTTACTTATTTAACTAAATCGATTCTGGTGTGTTATGCGGGGCATTATTGACTCGTTAGGCTCGATTTCTGCTGCTTTTTTTGTCCGCCCAGAGAAGAGACACAGGAACCAGGTGCTCCGTCCGGACAGTTGAAACCGAGATGACCGATCACTGCCACCCGCCTTTACGTACGGAACTACATGTATAGCCAGCTTCGTACCCAGTCCCGTTGGCGCTATCCTAGTGACTAGAGGAGAGGCTTAGAACCACGAACTTTCCCGACAAGCTTGACAGGTGAACTCATATCCGAAATCACCGAGAACGACTGGGAACGAGGCTGATGTATAGCCAGACTGCAAACAGTCTAGCCTCTGATCATCAAGAGATTGAATTTCCTTTTCGGCTTACAATATTTCCTCGAATAAGCGCCCACGTTCTAATCGGCGCTGTCCTCTGAATAAGCGCCCACTCCCTAGAGCACAATATTCATCAAACAAGCGCCCCCTCGAATAGCACCCTCCTTTCCCTCCCCCATGAAAAACAACAACAACGACTTAATTCATGGTTGTGCGTACAAAGAAACATCTATAAAAAAAGCAAATGCCTTTCACAGTGCGGTGTAATATGGTCTCCTTTAGAGGTAGACCGCGAGCATTTGTCTTTTCTCCTCAGAGCTACGCGCTGCGAGCGATAAAGTAGGCTCCTTCACTCCCGCCATCCCGGCCCAAATTTTCGCTCAATCCTGATTTTCGGTTTTCCTCAACCCGTGTACACTTTAATCTTTAGATTCGCCTCCATATTGCTTTGAAATACTGAATGAAATAAATCCCGTATCGCGAAAAACCTTTTGGAGATCCTCAAAAAGTAACTCGCGGTCTCACGGTGGTTAAGGCCTCTCAGACAGACTGTGCAGAATAAAATCCTTGCTTAGTCAGGCAAACTTCAGAGGCGCTAATTTTCCAAATCTGAGAATTGTTTTTATGACTTAATACTTTTTGAGACTGCTCAGACTCTAGCCACCGGTGGCGTCGCCAAACTCGTCTATAAATCCTATTTGAGCTATTAAAATTCTTCGCGATCGGATCGGTTTCCCAGTAAGACTGTCGTGACAGAATTGGATCACGAACGAGACAAAACAGGCGCGCGTTTTTTTGACAGTTCAGTGTTCATTCGTCTTAGGTGCTGCGATGGCTTGTTGCTCGGGTGTTTGAACTTGTTTATATTGAATGTTAAAGTCTAATCAGGTGACGACACCATCGTCGTAGTTGAAAACAACTTTACAGACTCTTTTCGCGAATATACTTAGCCAAGAATGTTCCCCGAAAGTAGCGACATCGGGAATGTTATGGGTGATGTTGCACGGAAGGTTGGAGTCGCGGAAGCTGTACTGCGACTGATGGTCGGCTTATTGACTGGTAAGTTCTGTTCCTCGTTCAAGCAACCGTTTATTGACGTCCAGAACAAGTCCAGTGATCCTTGACGGTAAAATTTCTCAACCGAAACGCATCTTAAGGGTGTGGAAATTCTAATAATTAATTGCCGGTATAAAACATTAAACCATAAGATAATGTTTATTGATATTGTAGACACACTGGGTTATAAACTCATTACGCACAAAGTTAATTTACCCAGTTACAACAGATGGGAGTCATAAGTTTACATCTAGGTTTCATATCGTAGTAAATCTGAACCAAGATACAAGGCAAAAATAATGATCAAGCAGGCAGAGAGTGATATTAGAACTTTGTACTTCATACGAGGGTTCTATTGTTCCCGGTAGGTTCGAAAGTCCCAGACCTGTTGAGGTTATAATCCAGTGTTTACTTAAGATGCAAGATGAGCTCAAAATGGGAACTGATTTTTTCAATGCAATTTTCGTTTCTCGCGTTCAATAAATTCTAGCGATTGTATTTTCTTGCCATTGTTCTAGGATTGCCTTTGGCCTTTGTTTACAGATCTTTTTGTTACAAGAGAAATGCGACAATCCAGGTGATTTAACATATTTGACCAATATTTCGCTGTTACCTTGTTTCTAAAATCACGGAGGTTTTTAAGCGTTAATAACAATGTTTTTTCCCTTGCAGCACATTTGTATTACCATCTGTGGCGTCTGGTTGGCTTTCTTTTGTTTTGGTAAGTTCGTGGAATTTATGTAAG